TATAATGTATTAATAAACAGCGTGGATTATAGTGATGATGAATTATGCCAACTAAAAAAAAGTCAAGATTTTAAATATAATAAACCAAAATTAAAACCACAGTTTTACACAAGCTGAGAAAGGTAAGCGGCTGCCTACAGTGGCCTTCTTCCTCAGCAGAATAGGTAGTAGAGAGAAGTTGAGGAGTTGAGTGCCTGTCAGCATTGCATGATGCCCTGGTGGAGAGGGAAGGAGATTATCTCTGAGTTCTCAAAGTACATCAGGCTGAAAACTGATCACAGGGATCATTAGGAGCTAGTTGAGACTTGGGATTGCTTTAAACTGCTTTCAAATGTTGAGTTTTAGGGGGAGAAAAGACCTTCTCAGAAGGGGAATTGCCCATTTTGCTGTACACAGGGTTTTGCAGATTGCTGTTGTGTCAGGACAGAGCCCAAAGGGACAAGGGTGTCCAAACCACCTCTACAAATGTCTGGGTCTGATCACATCTGTGAGGCTGGGCACTGCACCTGCATCACTCACCCGAGTCATCTACCTCCAGAAGGGGAAACTACATGGGGCAGAGATGCCATCTGGAGCTTTCTCCTTCCTCAGTGGCAAGCAAGGGCCTGTACCCATGAACCAAACACGGTATCCGAAGCCAGGACAGTTCCTGGTGAGCCTCGATCAAGACTCAAGCTTTTGGAGTCCTGGATGAAGACCAGCACTTAAGCAGTCTAGAGTCAAGGATAGCAAGGCCTCAAGAGCGGATTTTGCGTATCTAATGCAGCTGGCCAGGAGGTTAAATAGGCAAGCTGTGAGTAATGGGAGTGAACCTGGTTCAGAATCAGAGGAGGGGGAAAGCAGTTTGAATCATCTCCTGTAAATCCAAAAATAAGCCCCTGGGTAAACACTCATTTTAATTATTCTTCTGCTGCCATTCAAAATCTCATGGTTACCTACTGCTTTCCCTGCCTGCCTGTATCCACCTGTTGTCTGTTTTCGTAAAGTCTGATTTAAAGCTCTTTGGCCTGGGAAAGTCTTTGTTGTGGATTTGTGCCATGCCTGTAATAAAGGCACTGGACCTGTAGCTTCTACTGCAATACAAATAAAGAATAATAACAGTGATACTTTTCTCATTTGAGGTTACCTGGGGATAAAGTTGCTGGAGGCATACGACTTTGATATACAGTCAGCTATGTCTCACATCCAATTAAGCCTAACCACATGGTCTAACAAGGTCCCATTAGGCCAGTGAGAGCCCCAGTTTGATAGCAGGGTTAGCTTCAAAGATTTGATGCTTGCATCTGTAGTGATTTCCTTCCCCTGTGCTCAGATTGTGCCGAAGGGCATGAAGGGAGCTTCATATTCAGATGATACATGACCAGCCTGAGAGCTGTGCTTGAGGAGACAGTTGCACAATCTTTACTGCCATTTTTGTAATCTTACAGCTTGCAGTACAAGCTCTCGCCCTGACAACCCCGTGCTCAAATTTCACTGCAACGTGAAAAACAAAGAGTCAATGAAAAACCCAGTCCTTGAATTAAAAATACCTGGTTTACAGTATCACTGTTTTTTTAACATAGGGGAAAAAAACCCAAACCAAACCAAAAAAAAGCTGCTTTAAATGACAGATAGACCCAAGTCTTAACATACTTCAAGTCTGGACAAAGGAGGATTTAGGCTGTAATATTTTTCATTTCCCCTTGTCTTTTGGATAGGCCACATCTGAATCTGGGATGAAAAGAATCCCTCAACTTGCAAGAAGCTGGAATTCCAAATATGAAATCTGAACCCACCTCCAGTTAAAACGAGTGGAAGGCACAGGCCACAAACGGACAAGGGCTCCAGGCACCTCTGAGACACGCTGCCTGGCCACAGGGCACTTCAGAGAACAAGCATCGCTGCTGGCATGAGAAATAATAGAATGAATACTTTGGTGGAAGCAGTTTTGGCAATTTAGCCGCTCTGCAATATTTTGCAACATCCATGTCGCTCTTAGGGATGGCTAGAACCTTCTGGGAAAATATTTCCTCTGCACAACATCTAAACAGGACATCCAGCACCAGCAGTTTTTACAGAACATGCCGTGATGAATATTAGAGTTGGGCAAAGAAGGGAAATACGTCTGCAAATCCCCATCTGCCTAGATTGTGTGGGGCATTTTATAAAAGCATAACTCCGGGATCAATTCTGGCAATGGTTTGCATACGTATTCACTTTACTACACAAAGCCCTATTGAAATGAACCAGAAACTTGTACGGTGCATTTCAAAGGGACTTTACAAAATACTAAGCAACAACTGTGCAGAAACAATAGCTCATAATAATGCCAGAGCTGCTGGTGCATCCTGTGTTCTCAGTGCAGCACTCTGTGAGCCATCAGTTGCTGTATTCGCCTTAAAAAATTCAGGGAAATAAAATACAAAAACAATATTAAAAGTCTGGCATCTTTCCATGAAAACCAGGAAAATTCAGCATTGCCAAGCTGAGGAAAAGCAAGCTTGAAAGAAAACAAAAAGACCCCAAAAGCAAGGATCTTGAATAAAATGTCTAAAAGAGACATGGTCCGAACGTGTGGCACTTTAAAAAGCCTCTTGTGAGAGTTTCAAGTCTGTAAGACTCAAAGTTGGCACCCTTTAAAATTATCAAAAGGAAGAGTTTCAGACACAACCGTACCTGGAGAACATCCTGATCACACTACGGAAAACCAAGCAGGTTAGCTGTCAGCTCTCGCTGTGCGGAGTTCAGGCTATAAGGTCCCTGGGACAGACTGTGGCTCCCTCTGCATTCGCACAACACAGTCAGTGCTTAACAACACAAACATTTATCTTATCACCAAGCTCTAAGACACATGGAGATGGATGCTGATGGGGTTTATATTATGCTATCTACTGACTAGTTTTAGCACTTTAGATGTCCTATGCAAATCCTACTTCTCACTGGGGCAATGAGTGAAATGGCTGAAGATATTTTAAGCAACATTAAAGCCTATTTATAGTCACATCTCCTTTCCTTCCAGCGTCCACTGGCGGATGCTGAGTGCTTCTAAATACTCCGCCTGACCTGATGTGTCACATCAGAATTAAAACTTTAAGAATCCCTGAGAATTCTGATTTAATCTAGGAAACCACTCCCAGCACACAGAGTGTGAGAAAGAATTGCTCCACTTCTTACAGATATGCCAGCATTGCTTCACCGTGGGAAACACTTTCAGGCATTTTGGTTTTTAATGGCACTCTGGGCATAGATGCATAGAACATGCTCTTTATTTCCCCTCCTCTGTACAGTGCAAATTGACAGTTATATCATAGAAATAAAAAAATAAAGTATCAGCATTCACTCGTTACAGCTCTTCCAGTTCATCCACATCACAGTTTTTTCTCCGCAAAGTGAGGAACAATGCCAGTGTCGTCCTGAGGCAGATGACTGCCTTCTTCCTTCATTTTCAGACTCTCTTCTGCAAGCTGGGATAGATACTTCTGCAAAACCATCAAAACCAAAACATCATTACCAAAACTGAAAATATTCAACGTGGGATGCTTTATGCCTTTTCAGAGGCTCTTACACTCTCCCAACATCTCAAAAGGGAAGAAAGCATGCAGAAGCCCCATTTTGGTGAAAATTCAAGCCAGGAAATATAGCTGTGTCAGGCAAACTACCTGAATACATAGAGAGCCTCCAAAGTTCAGTGATTTACTCTGTGCCACAAGGGGGACTGGTGACGGAACCAGGAGGACCACAACCCCCCACTAGTCCATGTAACTAGACCTCATCTTTTCTCCTTGCAAACGCTGCTCCCATGTACTGCAGGGCAGGAACTAATGCCTCTGAGTCAACTGAATTATGGTAGTATAAGACTGGCGTGTCAGAAAATAGGTGCAGTTTCTGAGTCACAATTTAAAGCATATATATTAAATTTTCAACATGTCCAGTTCAGAGATACACCTTTTGGACAAGAACATTTGTTGTAAGGGAATAATCAAACTCAGTAATAATTAACACAATTTAGCACTCTGGCTAGAGTATTTATCATTTCTGTGTTTCTCTGAGATAAAGCTTTTTGGTACTTTGAGTACTCAGCGTGATTTAAAAATACAGACATGGCCAGTGAGGCTTTCAGCCTTCTGGCAGCATTTTGAGTTGGCAGAACTGCACACAGAATGAACTGGTGTGCATCTGAAAATGGAGCTCAAAGTATTTATTCAAGCATCAACAGACCTAGAAATGGATGGAAAGCAGCTTTTTCATCAGCAGCTAGTCTAGAGAGACACATTGTAAATTCCTATGTAACAATGTAAAGATGTTCTTATTAATGACTTATACAAATACCACATGCAAGAATAACTGACCTGCACATTATTAGAACCATAAAACTCTCCTTTCTAGCTGATTATTCATCCTGATTTATTTTGAAAAGGCCATCTCACGTCACTGCAAAATTTTATCTACTGGCAGGATTCTCCCAGAGTCCAGTTTACTCTTTGGCTTCCACAGGGAAGAGGTGAAATGAGAAACTGATGTAAAAAAACTAAGGGCTGTGTTAGGACTGCCAGGTTGTCTCATGTAAATACAAGTTTTGGATGTAAGAGGGACATCTGAAAGGGACTCAATAATGGTAATGAATGGGCATACCTGTGATGACTGCAGCTCTGGTACTCTGAATACAGAGCTTTGGCTGTGGAAATTACACAACTCTCAATCTTGATCACTGGGTACAAAATTCCATGTGGCAGAAAGCCAGAGTAAATGTTACACTGGTATACAGAGATATAGGCTCCCTAAAGGATGGGAGAAATGATCTGTACACCATGTACTGTAATAAATCACTAATGCTTGTCACTGGATCAGATAACCCATGCATTTCTGGTTTTTAATGATTACCCACCAAAATAAGACTGAGGTTTATCCACCACCTTGAGCTGATGCAGCTATCATAAGTACCACAAATACCAGTTTTGAAGTTCGCAGACCAGACATTCAAGATTAATTTATAGCAAAATGACAGTCCCAGAAAAAGTATTTTTTCATTTAAATACAAGTTTTGATGAATACTGCATAAGGCCAGTGCAAAACAGGATAAAATGCTGCATCAAGTTGTCAAGGTAGCTTACACCAGATGAATCTGACAGCTTTTTGTGGTAGTGGTGGGAGGGATGGCCAAATGATGGATTTTTTGGACATGAAAAATGCTGTGGATCTGTAAATATAAATACCACCTGGGAAAATAATTTATTAAGCTGAATAGAATGGAAAAGTACAAAAAATGTACAAGGCTGACAAAGAAACAGTTGAATTTTTTTCAGTGATTGCTGTTCTTGAAGGGGCAGCATACACAGATGAAGTTGACTATTTTACTTCAAGACAAAATCCTCATCACCTTTTGGAAGAAAACTGGGAAACAAACTGTTTAGTTTTGCCTTCAAATCCAAACACTGAACATATATTTTGGATGTGGCTCTGAGGAGATCACATGAAAGATGACAAGTAGCAAATCAACTACAAAAGACTCATAGCCATGAGAGCATTCGGGACAACGTCATTGTCGTTGGACAATGGTCTCTGTCATGTAGGAAAGACAACATAAAAAAGAGTCTGCAGCAGCTGTCCCATAGCTTCACATACAGTAAAAGCCAGAGTTCTTATTTGAGTGGATACACTCATTAAATTGCATCATCATAGGAGAAGAATGACATTTCTTGCAGAGTGCACAAATAAGCATTATTGCAACTAAAAGTGTTTAGTAATACAGAACAATTATTTAAAATTTGCTGAGTTTCCACTTCAGCAGACAAGAGTTAGATGAGACATTTACTTCCTCCATTTAGTAAGATAAGAGGTACAGCTCGTACAAACACTTCGTTTTCATTACCATATTTGACAGATATGATTTTAACAGCTTTTATGGTCTTTGTTCTTTTATCTCAAGTCAGTGTTAGATATCTACCACAGTGCTCATGGGAAATGTCTTAACAAGGAGAAAAAAAAAAGAGATTTTTTTCACACTGACTCAGTTTTACTTGGACCTTTTTTTTCTATGACTTTAACAAAATAACTTATTAAATGAAAAAAAATCCCTCTTCTTCCCATAGGGCTAGTTGACCAGGGCAGAGACTGGAGTTACAATCTCTGCTTTAACATTAATTTCTTTGGGACAGACTCGCATGGGATACACAACCTGCACTGAGTGGTGCCATCTGTGGTGAATCCCTCTTGATTTTCTTGTATGAAGCAAACAAAGACATGCAAACTGGGCACCCGTTTTTCAAACTTACACTTGGAGGATCCATTCCTAGCAAGCATCAGAGCTCTTCAGGCAGAGTCTTTGAAAGCCTTTGTATGATAACAGCTATGTAACTTCAGGAAAGTCAAGAAGAAAATTCTCCCAGATAAATTATTTGACTCTAAGTGTCACTAGAAGAGCCAATGCCTACTAGCCAGCTAGAGAAAGTTAGCTATTACTGGAGAAGAAGCAGAGCTCCAGCATTTACTATGGACAGAGGGAAGGAACAGAGAAAGAAGGAGCAGCCTTGTTCTTTCATGTCTTGCTAAGAGCAGGTAAATGCCAAAAATTGCTAACATAAGTGTCTTCTGCAGCGCGCACACCCTGCATGCAGACAAGGACTCAAGGAGGTGGGAGGCAAGGCTACCTCCTTTGAGGAGTCCTCAGCATAGGGCAGTGCATGTTCATGCCATCATGACTGACACTATCAACTGTGCATCTGAAGAGTGATAGAGTCTTCTGACTGAACTGCAAGCATCTATGGTCTCTGTTATGAAGCATTGATACACTTCTGGTATATTCTTATGGAAACCATACAAGTAATTACATGCTTCTGCATGCCTTTATAGAAATTATTCAATAGTGGCGTTCTGCGTGGCTGAACC